AGTGAATTTAACTATGGAGAGATCCGGAGATTTTAGGAGTGTTACAATTGGCTAGCATTTAGATAGTCAATGAAAAATTCTCAGTTTGTGCTGTGGTTGCATAATGTCTGTGTAAGTTGAGTGAGTATTAGTTGGTGAAAAAATGTAATCAAAAGCAAGTGATCAGAGCTGAGGTCGAAGCAAGAATATACTTTGAAATATGATTTGCTTAAGCCTTTGATTATTGCGAAATCTATAAGATCTGCGGATTAATTTTTGGTTGTGGAAAAAAGGTCGGTTCATCAGTTGCTAATGTATCTAGCGATCTAGTGAGCGTATTGCATATTCTACTGTTTTGTCTCTTGATGAATTTATTTTCGAGCCCCATAGAGTATGTTTGGCATTGTAGTCGCCAATAGCAATGGACTTGTTGCCTAGTGATTGAAAAAAACTTGAATATTGTTGAACATTTATTTTAAATTTAGGAGAACAATAAACTGCCGTTAAAGTGATGTTACCGTATGTTATGTTGATTCTTATGCTAGTAGTTTGGGCTATTGAACCTTGGAGATGATGTTTAATATCGCTCTTGATTATTATAGCTGTACCGCCTTGATGGATGTATTGTATTGTATATAGTGTAATAAGGAATTTTAATGTGGTGTTTATTTGTAATTCGAGCTTCTGCAACGAGATTTTGTTGCTATTGAGAAAAATTTTTAACTCAGAAATTCATTGTGGGAGCCCGTTGGCGTTTCATAAAGCAATTTTTAATGTGGTGGTCATTACTTGGTTTGATTTGCAAACATGTTTGTGAGAAGTTCTATCATCATCGTTTATTTGTTTTGATTGCTGTGTTAGTGACTTTGTTTGTTCTATTAACAAGGTAGATATTATTTCAGTATTTTTAATTGATTGGTACAGCAGTTTCTTTATTTCTATCGTTTCTGGTACTGAGTCATTGTGGATTGTGCGAAGGATGCGGAGATCTTGTATATATGTAAGTCTTGCCGTTAGTGTTGGTTTGTTGGTTTGGAATGTGTCGTTATTGTATAGATTGTGTGTTTGTGAAGCAGTGGTAAAATTATTTGTTACTATTTTGAGTCTGAGCGTGGGATACAGCTTTTGTTGTAATTGTTTTTTCACTATGCAGCCTTTATAGTTAGCGGCATGGTTTCTCTGGCAATTAAAACATTTTACCTTGTCTGTTTTCCCTGTTAAAGGGCAGTTGGGGGTAAGGTGTTTATAGATACATACAGGCGTTTCAAAGCAATAATTTTTAGTGTATCCATGAGCTTGACAGCGTGTGCATTGCGGTATGTCTCTTAGCTCGCGGGGGTTCAAAAGTAATAATAGTGTTTAAGAGTTTCTTAACTTTGTAAATTTCTTTGTTATTTTCGCTGGGTTCTAATTCAATAAAAAACAGTGGTAGTGGCTGTTTAGTATCATATTTTACTACATTATTTGTCTTACTTGATGGTTTAGGTTTTAGTTTATTGATGATTCTGTTGGTATCTGTCTTTGGGTGCATCCCTTTAAGTACTACCTTGTAGCTTCTGTCTTTTTTTAATTGATATGTATAAAAGTTGGCATTCTTTGATTTCAAGGCAAGCATTATTTTGCTGCAAATTTCAGTGGTGTTAGCTTGAACCTTAACGTGATTATTGTTTAGCTGTTTCAGTGTGTAACTATTATTTGCTGTTTCTTTTAGGAGATTTATTAAAGGTTCTATAATTTGAGTTTCAATATGAATTGGAAGAGGTTTCGGCTCGGTAGATTTGTGGTCTCTTCCAAGGTGTTTTCTACAGTTGCTGGATCTTCCGTTAGAACGTTAAATATATTGAGATGGGTTATCCGTTAGCCATTTGATCTGCTGCGTGCAAGAACTATCCGTGTTGGACGTCTCGTGTGGGTAAATTTTTCGTTTTTTATTGTTGATTTCCGCCAGATTATTACTAGTTGGTTTGTCAATTTCCATTCCGTTGTTGTTGGTTTTTCTGTTGGTTATGGAAAAGCCATCCTTATTTTTAACAATTTTGAACTGTAGGTTGTTGATTTCTTCCATTCGAATTGATTTGCTAAACTTGCCAGACGGCAAGTTTAATGATTTACGCACACTCTAACACACCTGAGTAGGTACAATGACAAACGTTCATACACAGTGGTAAATGTTCGCCTCGCGTAAATACGTCCTGTCAGCACGACTGCTTAAGCGAGACTGACAATTACAGTAGAATCTCGATTATCCGAACATCGATTACCCGGATAAATATTGCAGCTGTTCATCTGATAAGCAAAAATTTAAATATTGCTAACATTTGAATCAGTTAATCTTTACAATATATATAATGCATGCCATTAAAACGTAAGCATACAATTTTGTCAACTCAAACGAAATATGAAATAATAAATCGATTGGATAATGATGAAACAGTATTGGAAAGTCAATTATTTGTGATATAAAAAAACGAGAGTGTAAAATTATAAACTACAGCAAAACTTCATTGAAATATGCACGAAAAAGTATAAAAACTGTTAATAATAAAATTCTTGGCATGTATGAATGGGTTTATTAGCGGCGATGCGATTTCATTATAGTTCGAAGTTACAAATATTCGTCGCTATTCGATTTTCTACGGTTTACAACGAACCAGTAAACTTAGGAAATGCGTTTAGAAAAACGATTGCAAGTAACTTACTTCATAGAAAATATTTGAAGAAAATAATTGAAAGAAGATTGGCCACAGAGTAGGGAAGATGGCAAACCTTTCGAACTGTTTGACAGCACCTCAGGACCGTCAAATCTGAAAGATTGCTTTGTTAATTTTTCTAATTTCTATTCTTCAATGGTTAATCCATTTTTTGCTTAGATTATTATTCCATTTTTTCTTAATCTTCAGTAAACGTTAATTATTATAATATGTTACAATATTGTTTTTGACATGAAAAAATTAAAAATAAATCATACGCGCTGTAACGCAATAACCGATTGTCGGGTTGCGAAGTTGTGAATAATGATCGCAGTAGCGATACAGACGTCGCATTTCCAAACAAAAGTCAACTCCTGATATAGAGTCCTGAAATGATATTGCTGCGCTGGTAACATTATTATTGTACAATAGTTATGCGATACGATTAAGAAGCAATCGCAATATAGTACATCAGCGTACTCATATGTCTAACGTATTCAAAAGATAATAGACCTTTTATCTTTAGCGATTATTGCAAAGAGATTTTAAATACAAATATAAAAACTATTGCACGATCACTAAAACTAATTTTTAGTCTTGGATTTTTAGTCTTTTGTCGTCAGTCTTTCATCTTTAGCTTTTGTTATCAATTTATAATTTTACTTATATATTATTATTGAAAATCCAGGATATATATTATTATTGAAAATCCAATTCTCAACATTAGTCTCCGTCATCTTCAATCAGTTATCGTTTGTTTGTCTACAAAATTTTCGATTCTCAATTTTAATGGAAAAATGTAGTAGTGATTATATTGATATTATCATTCGTTCATTCACTAGAAATATTAGTAAATTTTTACAGCTTATTTCATATTCAAACTGTTGCAAATCATATCGACAAAAAAATTCTACTCTTTTTTTGTCATATTTTACATTCAAAACAAAACCTTTCTTAGTGTGTAATAACTTCTAAGATAAAATTTGTCCATTCCACACATTAAAAACTTCATGAAAAACAAACAAATTCAATTGAGAAATTTTTTCTTTAGATTATCACACTAAAGATTGTGTAAACTATAAGACTTATATAAATAAGAAGACTTAATCCAATAGAATTTAAATATATTTAAACATTTAACATTTATTGCATCACAATCATTATATTATTTTAAAAAATTTTATTATCTCTAACATACATATAAATAGCAGAAGAAAGTCGTCTAATATGGGATTTTTTTAGAAGCTCATAGATTCAGCCTAAATAGAAAAATTTTAAAACTTTTTGTATCTACCACTTCTAAATACATGTCAGATTGTATTGTGATACATTTATTTTTATTACTTTCTAGTTTTTTTATCAATTATCAAATTAACAAGAACATATGATGTCCCCATATTGGACACAGGAGGAAGTCCCTAATATAGGACTGTATATTAGGAACGTGACTTTATTGAAATGTACTTTTAATTAATAAATGTACTTTTATTAAATAAATGTACTTTGCTGATTTATAAACACTAGATACCATAAAATATTTAATTAAATAAATTTAGATGTCTTCGAAGACAATGGAATCCGAACACGATGAAAGTAGCGCTAAGACGCTGTTAAAAATAAGAAAAAAGGAGAAGTTACAAAGCATCTCATTTTTTTTGCGTTCCATATTAGGGTTCTATATTAGGACAAATTATTATATTATTTTTTCTACAAAAAATTTTATGCAAAAGTTGTATTATTCTTGTAGTTAAACTTCACTTAAAATTTTAGAAAAATCACGATAATAAAAGCTTATGAACTTGTAATTTTAAAAATGTAATTTATAAATTATACGATTGTTTACTTATTTTTCAAAAGAAATGAAGAAATAGAACGTAAAAATTTTTTTATTTAAAAGTAAAAAGGCTGTTTTAATTAATCGATTCGTAGTACTTTAATGGCTAATTCTTCATGTTAATGAATAAATGATACTGCATTAGTATCATCATAATACTGCACTTATTCGTAAATAAGCACCTCTTACTGTGTTAAATTTTAAACCCATATTGAGAATCCTCCCTATATTAGGCGACTTTTTTCTATACCTAATAAGTAATATACATATAATGTACATATAATAAATAATATCCGTAATAATATATTATTTATAAGAATAGGAATTTACAGAAATATCTGTAATTTAGTTATCACGTTACATATAATTACATTATATTTTAATATTTTACATATATTACATTAAATTTTAAATAATAAAATATATCTAAATAATATTTCTTTGTCATAATTTTCTATAATATACAGATACTATTATAAAATTTTTTTTTATTTCAGTTCAACCTGTTATAAAAGTCACCAATCAGTTGGTAGCAGCACCCATCGAGAGTGATGTTGTTCTCCAGTGTCATGTTGAAGCTTCGCCACAAGCACTGAATACTTGGCACCAAAATACTGGTAATGAACATTTGTTACAATTAAATATTTAAAAAATATATATATAGTTATTTTAAAAAGAGTATAAATAGTTTGTAATATTAATAATCATTAGTTATTATATAACTATAAATTAACATTTACTATAGAACATATTGATTTTACTTTTTATTATGCATTTTTTCAATTATGAAATGTGCTACATTATGATATGTTTCAACATTGAAAATGGTTAAAATATGGATTATTTCATGCTAAATTAATTATTTTCGTAATTTAATTAAAAACTTGACACATGACAATTGAATGAAGTGTTACATGTTATATTCGTTACATGTTAGATTGTGAGCGAAATTAAATTAAATTGAGAACTATAATTCTACATTTTATTAATGCACGCAAATAACAAATATTCTATCAGAAATTAATATAAAATTTAAAAAAAGGACTTTGAAAGGGTACAAAATTTATGAAAGAATGATATAAATTGTACCATCGCGAAATGTAAATATAACATAGACTCTTATTCGAGATTTTTATTCAGTTTGTACAAAATTAAAGAAAAAAGATAACTTTTATCTTTGAGACGTTTTGAAACGTAACAATTTTTGCTAATTTTCTACAAACATACTTTTTCAAACGAATTTTTATTTTCAAAATATTAAGCATGCACATTTTCTGCACACTTTTTTTTATTTTAGAAAACATTAAATTTTAAAAGAAAGGATAATCCAAATACATAATTATTATATATATACACTAGAGATGATAAGAAATTAAAAAAAAAAAAAAATAGCATAAGTAAATTCATTAAATTGTTGATCATATCCGAAGAAATCATGAAATTATTGTTATCTGAGAACAACAGACGATTCGCAGTATACACAGTTTCATTGTGAACTATGTTCGCTGGTAGTGTGGATACTTTTACAAACAACGAGCAACGAATGGCGAACTTGAACGAATAATATACAGGAGGCAGTATCAAAGGATTTGTTCGCTATCTGAATATGTTTCTAATGCTGAGTCCACATGGCGCAAACAGTTTCGTATTCACTAGCAGTGTGGACATTTGCGAACTAATCAACAAATAGCGAATAGCGTTTGCAAATAATGCAGCGAGTAAAATTATAGAGAATACACTTGGAATTTCATATAATTTTATTATTTTAATATTTTATATAATATCCAATTTTATTTTGTGCTACGGAAATCTTTTCTATTTAAGCTAGAAAGTGCAACAGCAATAATCGAAACAGCATGTACATATTTGTACAATTTTATTAAAACTAGAGAATCTCAAGATATCTATATTTTTTTTTTGCTTTGGTAGATTTACAAATAAATGAAGAAAATATTAATAGTACTTGGAGACAAGAAAATAGAAATTTAACATCTATTTTGTTACTTAAAAGAAGAAAATGAAAATCAACTTGCAATACCAATGATATTCGCGATGAATTCTTTGAATATTTTTCTTCTGATAAGGGACATGTACCATGGCAGGATTTATGCATGTAAATATGAAAATACTATAATTATATTATTAAAATATTGTATCATTTTCCAAATTAAACTCTTAGAATGATTAATAACATTTTGTTACGTGTATTTAAAAAAAAAAAGAATCTTGTTTATGGCTCGAACGATGAACTTGTTTGAAATTTTCATTACTCGAATCTTCATAAAAAGTTCTTTTGATATGAAATTTATTTCCTATGACACATTGCTATATACGTAATGTATTATAAAATACATTTTATTATGTATGTATTAAAAAAAAACATTTATTTATAAAGTAACATTATTTATTATTATAAAATGAATTCATTATAAAATAGCTTAATAAATTACATATTTCTAACCTATAAACTATGACCAATAATTTGTAAGTGGCGTGGTGCAAAAGATAATGTACATAACAATGCGTATAATGTGAAATTATCTTCTGCAAAGTACTACCTTTGTCTTTCACTGCCAGTACTGTATTATCCAATACGCATTTTTAGTTTAAACACTATTTTATTTATTTCAAATTAAACAATGGCTTGTATTTTCGAGCTTTCGAATTTTCTCAATTTTCTGACTATATTCTTCAATCATCTTAGAGATTATAGTTTTCATGTCCTCCATTAATCATGGATATTTTGTTGATTATTTTCTCTTTTTATAATCATTATATGATGCAATTGAAATTTTTTTTCTAATTTTTAAAATAAAAATATGTATTTTTTTAAATCTTATATAATATACTTTATAAATAAAAATTGACTATAAATATGAATATAATTGTAGAAGTCTAAAATATAACCAAGTATATAGCTAAACTTTTGATATTTACAGCTTTATTTTTACTTATAGTTTCATTCCCTATGTAATCTTGTTTTTATTTCATCACTTTATTTTTATTAGACCAAAATGTGATGCTTTTATAACTCCATCACAAAGATATCTTTACTTTATTTGTTCCTATACTATATTTTATCTTCTTTTTGTTTTTTTTCTGTAGCCAGTAATGTAATATTCGATATTAATATTATACCAGTAATATTTTTATTCTTCTTACCACTTCTATCCGTTCAACGTCTAATTTCTCGGCTATTCTAGTCATCATTTTTTTTATTTTCATCTCTATACTAAAAAAATTTAGGATTTCACAATACTAATTCATTTTCATAAAGTTGAATACCTACATGATAGACACGTTCCTTTCGAATGTATTTTAATTTAAATTTATTGTATCACAGAGACATAAAATAATTGATTCAAATTATTATTTTTTTTTTGTTAAAGATTTCTGTGGAGAAAAACAATTGACAACTATATGTCATTAATTTATGTCATTATTATTATATTATATGTCATTAACTATTAAAAATAAATTTCTTAGTGTCACGTCCCGGGAGGGGGTCTCTATAGAAAGACGAAAAACTTATTTTCCGGATATCACACCCAAGGAACACAAAGGATTGGAATCGTGTCAGTAAGGTTGGGGTATAGTTGTAAAAAAGGCGTTTCGCCTCGAAGTCGCCGCAGCCAGATTCATCAGTGGGACTGATGGTAGCGACCCCTCCCCCAGACCCTTGGTTAGGCTTCTATAGTCTCGGCTATGGAAACGGTCACCACCTATCCTAGAGCGGCTCAGCACGCTTCGTGCTTAACCTAAAGATCCCGATCATAGGTGCGCTATATCCACTTGCTGCTGTGCTAATATATGTCTCGATCTTGTATTTGTTAAACATTCACTGGGGGACTCGACACCAGATGAGGCCATTATCTCCACCCTGGTTGCCGGCCGAAGAGATAGGACGATTAGAATTGGAATTTGAATTGAGATTGAAGAACTTGTACGTGCGCGAAGACCTGCAGTGATGTAGGAACTAGCCCAAGACAGTGTAAACCTGGCCCGGACGAACCGGGACGCAGGTGCGACCTCGTCCTACTACTAAATACCTACTCCCCTCTAAACCAGTCACGAAGGGGATTACGTGTGTAGGTGGAACATCGGAGAATGGAAAAAAACCTATTAAGGATCATTAGAAAAGAAGATCGTCCCATATGGGAAGTGACCCACTTAGCCGTTTGGCCTGGAATTTTCTGAAGGTCCTTCCGAAACGAAACGCGGGAGGTGCAAGGAGGCGGAGTCACCAGCTTGCACTCGATCTCTAACGTGCTCGCAAGGAGGTACACAAGTGTGTTCGGCACACGCGCATTTGCACGATCTTACGCGAAGAGAGCTCATGCGAAACGCTGCACAAGTACAGCTCGCGCGACTTTCGAATGATCCGACTCAGGCATCCCGGGATTGCTACACCCGTGCGGATATACGCACCCTTGCGCATACTGGCCCTGATGGGGAACTAGGCATTGCCTCTTGCGTGCTTGGCCGAAGCCGAGGAGTTTACGGAGGGATACTGCACAAAGTGCAACACACGTGATCCGGCTTGGGTATCTCGGGTTCGCTACGCCCGTACTCCGAAGAGCCCCTGGGGGGAAACTAGCCCAAGATGTCAGGAGACGTCACCTCCCTCTTTAGCGAAAGAGCGTCCTCGCTTGTCTGAATTACCATTGACTAATGGACGTTTGCCCTTCCGCCTTTTACCGACGTATCCCACCGTTACCACCAAAAAGGTTATCGCGTCCCGGCTGTGGAGAAACCGTGTGCACAAAGTCGGGTCAATATAGTTGAGTGACGAAGTGCAACCTTTTGGCTCAACCGGCACGTACATCTAGTTCTAGCCGGGATCCGCGGCGTTCTCTAAGTTGGTGTTATTAAGATGTTCAAATGAGATAGCAGAGATCACTAGAAGGTTAACTAATAAAATAATAAATGACAAATGATATGCATTTAAAAGATATGCATGTATTTTAATCTAATAATTATACAAAACTTAACGCTAACTCATTACAAACCATATATATATATATAAAAAACTGAGTATTGATATATGCATATATGGATAGAAAAACTGAAACTGCGCGGATTTCGACGATGAACTGTCTGAAATTAGAAGATGAAATAACTAATTTCTAAGTCTTACCTCCTTTTATAACATTAGCTATCGATGGCGTGTTATGATTTCGCATCCGGAGCGTTCACTATCGCTTGGGAACGGAATGTCGAAGATGGTGTTTATTGTGTTGGAGATTCACGTTCGCCATTTGATCTGTACCGTTCGAAGAGCCAGTTGAAGCCGAACAGAACAAGATCAATAAAATATTCCATACCCCATAATCAATGCACTCTCGCACATATTCTTTCTTCGCTCACACCATCGATACAGAACAGTCTGTATCAAAACACGCCAAATCTTGATAACTCTAGGAACAAACGTCGTCCAACGTCACATTAGCTTTTACTAAATTATCCATAAAGAAGGATATGAAATGGATTTTACAGCTTCATTTTTTTGTTTTGTGTTACAACAAGGCAGTAAGATCATAATACAGTATAAAAAAAAATAGTCAATAGATAAATTATTTTTTTCGAAATTATTATGACTCGACGACTTTTTTTTCAT